CTGATGAAATGGTAGTATCATTTTGAATGACTAAAAGTGTCCAGATAAGCCAGTCTCATCAGTCCAATTTTGTATTTAACACATTGAATTAAAATGATCATTCTTCAGTTCTTGGCTGTGAGCTCATTGAAGGTAGTAGCTATTTTGGGGGTGGGTGTTTTTACTTATGAATTAATATTGTTGATGAATAATAATGTCTGGTTATGAATATAATAAATATTTTGCAGATAAACTATAAAGGACTTTTGTTTCAGTTAAATGTGACTAAGAGAAAAATATTAGCTTTTTAAATGTAACACCTAAGTACCAAAAGCCCAATCATATTAAAGCCAAAAAAAAAACTCCTAAGCTATCTTAGATTCACAAAAATAAAATACAGTCATCACAAGACAGCCTACCATTTTCCACTGAGATGTCTTGAACTTATAGATTCTTTTTCTTGAATCCAATCAAATACATGCTGAGCACTGTAATAAAAGCATTGTATTCCTAACTGCTAGAGAGGTCAAGTACATTAAAAACTTAATTAATTTGCATAATTAAGACTGTGAGCTAGCATAGGATGGTGCTTCAGTCTCCAACAAACTATTCTAGCAAACTAGAAAGACAAGAGAGGTATGGGTTCCAGGAATTAAAGAATTAAAAATGGCTCCTGACTATGATGGTGTAACTGGTATTAGTCTAGGCTTCTTGCCAAAACAATCACAAAATTAGGCAAAATATATGAAGCAATGGTTTTCAAACATTGGAGAATAAGCAACGTAAGACTATGATCACTGTTGAAGAGGAAAACACGAAGTAGGCCCATAATTGCCTCTGCTTTCTGCCTAGAGCCACTTTCTGGAATATGGGGAGTATAGCTCAAGTAAGTTCAGAGTCTCACTGATCTTGTAGGCCAAGAAAAGAGTTTGGGGATGCTAGGGTGTCTGGAATTTGTAGGGTAAGGTCGAGAGAATGCTTTTCTGCAAAGGAGCTCCAGAACTGTGCATAGGTATCTCCTTAAATTTTTAGTCAATACTAAACTGCATATGTTCAGGGTAAGACTCCACAAAGTGTAACAGAGAACAGTGGCTGGAGAGCTGTGGGCTGAACAGAGATTTTAGAAGTCACACAGTGCTGGGAAATAGGAAATTCTGAACACTCAGAGCAGACACTTCTAAACACCCTAGTAGCCGGCTGACACTCTATAAAGACCACACATTAATAGGAGCGTTAAGACCTCTCTAGCAGTTAGGAATACAATGCTTTTATTACAGTGCTCAGCATCTACTTGATTGGATTCAAGAAAAATCAAAGGCTACTCTAGAAGCCTAAATCAAAGGCTACTCTAGCAATACCAGGAGAAAGCTTTAAAAAAGGTCTTGAAGAGATCAAACTGATCTTCCAGTAAATTAACAGGTTGTTATAAAAAAAAACAATACTCTTCAAAGCAAGATAACAAAATCTAAACTCTCAGCATAGTATCCATAATGTACAACATAGGATTATAATGATTAGGCATTCAAAAAATCAGGAAAATGTGACCCATATGTTGGAAAAAGCAACCAATTAAACAGAATTTGAGATTACCTAGATAGTAGAATTAGAAGGCAATTTAATAAACAAATATGTTTATTAAATTAAAGGAAAATATATTCATAATGAATAAATGGACAGGAACCTCAACAGAAAAATGGAAAGTATAAAACAGAACTGGGAATGCGTTTAAAGGTGAAAAAGCAGAAATGAAAATTTCACTGAATGAGCATAAGAGCAGGTGGGAAGCATCAGAAGAAAGGGTCGGTGATCTCCATGCGGATCAGTAATAATTATCCAATCTGAAGTACAAAAAGGAAAAGGATTGAAAAAAGGAACAAAAGTACTTATGGAAAAATATTAAGTGACTTGTACTTGTAAATAAGAGCCCTAAAATGAGAGGAATGATAGAATGTGGTAGAACAAAAACTATGATCAAAACCACCAAAATCTCTCAAATTTGATAAATAGAAAATCTTGTAATCAGATTGAGAAAAAATAATACACAACATAGTGGGATACAAAAATATGAATATGGCTGACTTAATCAGAAACAACAAGCTAAAGAACAATGGAATACCATCTTTAAAGTACTAAAGAAAAAGTCAACTCAGAATTCTATCTCTAGAGAAAATATCCTTTTAAAGGTGAAATAAAGATATTTTCAGATAAATGAAATGAAACTTTAGATCATAACTAGCAGAAATGCAGTATAGAAAATGCTAAAGGAAATTCTTCAGGTTGAAGGGAATTGACATTAGATGAAGGACAGGCAGGAAGAGCATCAGAAATGATAAATATGTGTGTAAATACAAAATGTTTTCTTTTCTAAATGTTACTAAAATATATGACTGTTAAAAGAAAATATTGCAACAGTGTATGATAGGAATTACAATGTATTTGGCTGAAATATGTATGTTAATAGTAGGACAAAGAATAAGTGTAAATGAAATCATATTGTTACAAGGTTCTTATCTCTAAATAGATACAGATATAGCTGAAGCGACAACATAAGTCAAATATATCAGAAAAAACTGAGCAACATCCCCCACCAAAAAAAGAGACAGGAAAGGAGAAGTAGTTAATTTTTTCAAATGTGGCAGAGAAAAATCAACAAAATAGTAAACATAAATCCAACCAATATATGTAAGTTGACTAAACATTTCAATAAAAATCCATAAACTATCATACTGGATTAATAAAATGTGAAACTCAAACTACATGATACTTAACAAAAATGCATTTTAAATATAAACCCACAGATAGATTCAAGGAAGATGGAAAAAGACATACCATCCAAATAACAAGTGAAAGAAAACTAGTGACTATACTAATATTATACAAAATAAATGTTAAGACAAGAGACATAGAGAAATGTTTCATAATACAACTGTCAATTCATTGGGAAGACCCACAATCGTAAAAGTCTATACACAATATACTAGAGCTTCAAAATATATAAAACAAAAACTGAATGAACAAAAGGGAGAAATTGACAAATCCATCATCATAGTTTTCATGTATCTCCTTCATATATATTCTACAATGCAAAATGAGACTTAACAAGATTAGCTTAAACATTTTCAAATAATTTGTAATACAACAAAGAATTTGAGATGGGGAGGGTGCTGCAGTGTGGTCCCCAGTGGGCTTGTAAACAGACCTGAAGGAGTTACAAGCTGGTCTCTAACTCCTTGCAGGCTGCCAGTAACAAGGTAAGGATAACCTAGTGGATGGGGTAACATTCTTTATGTGTCCGTTTTGTTCCTGGAGTTTAGAGAGAGAAATAGTTCAAAGACAAACCAGGGAAGGGAACTGAAAATTGCCACAAGACCCTTAATTGACAGTTGCTTTTAGATTTGCAAAAATAACTGTTCCTGGTGACCATGAAACAATTCAGGAATGTGTGTCATACCCTGGATTGCAAAAACTAAAAACTAGACATACACCATCAAATCTGCAAGCTACAAGACAGCTGAAAATATCCCTTCTCCCCCATCTTATATAAACTGTCCACTGTAGCAGGCTAACAAGTTGGGTCTTTAAGAAGAGTCCTCCCACCTTCCAACCTGCTGCCTTGTTGAATAAACCTCTTCCTTTGCTGGATACTGTCTCAGGAGTCAGCAGAACCCAACATTAGAGGTTACAGGTTTACCCCATTTCTTTCCTGAATGAACCCAGGACAATGACAAATTCAATGATTACTCACCTGAGAAAGACTTCTGAAGATATTCTGCCTAATGCTTACTTTTCAATCTTCCTCATCAGGAAGACAAACAATTATTAATGAATGTGCCTGAAAAAACTTGAAGCAAAAGCTGATAGAACTAAACGAAAAATAGAAATAGACACACCTCTTGTAATAATTACTACGAGATTTTAAAAAATCATAAGGAAAAAAAAATCTGAATGACAATATGGTAGTCCTCTCATTTCCAAACCCTTTCCCCATCCCCAGTGGATGCTTAAAACTGTGGACTGTACCCAACTCTATACACACTATGCTTTTTTCCTATGTATACATTCTTAGGATAAAGCCTAATTTATAAATTAGGCAAAGTAGAGATTAACAACAACGGTAATAAAATAGAACAATTATAACAATATACTGTAATAAATTATGTGAATGTGCTCGCTCTGCTCTCAAAATGTCTGATTCTACTGTACTCACCCTTCTCGTGATGACGCTAGATGATAAACGCCTATGTGATGAGGTGAAGTGAGGTGAATGGCCTAGGCTGAATTACCCAGTGTCAGGCTACCATTGACCTGATGATATGTCAGGAGGATCAGCACGTTCACAACCTTGGTTGACACCGGGAAAGGGAAACCGTAGGTACGGGAGCCTTCTATAACCACCACCTTAACCGAACAGCTTTTATAGAACAGTGTGCTCACGACCACAGGAAGGAGAGAGAAAAATACCATAAGGGAGGGAGAGAGCAAGAGCCCGAGCAAGCAGAGCGACTTTTTTGCGTCAAGGTCTTGCTCCAGGTTCCGCCAGGGATTAGGGGATATTTTCATTGAGTACTTGATGAATACCCACATCCTGCTTGGGTATATATACCAAGCACCTGCTGTACGCCTAGCAAGTATACTAGGCTTCTGCTGGTTCCAAGACTTCCAAGCACTGTTACAGGTTCCTCGGCGATAGACACAAACCTGACCTCACAGGGCGCGCCTCGTTCAGTCTCCCGAAGCCCCCGAGTCGCCGGTGAGAAGCTCACCTTCAAACCCGACAGGCCTCCGCGCGAACTCGGGGAGTAGCGCTCGCGCTTGCGCACTCCGCGAAGCCCATTGGGGCGGTGACGGGGCTCTTCCTACTGCGGACTACATTTCCCACAGGCCTCTACGCCTGGGTTCCTTCCGGCTTCCTCGTTGGTGTCGGCTACGAGAGGTGAGTTGGTGGCGTGCATTGAGGAAATGGGCGCGGGGGTGGCCGGGGATAGCCGGGGGAGGCGCGGGGGCGGTGCGGGCCTCTGAATGAACCCGGTTGCAGTGACTGGAGTTTGTGACTGAGCGTTGGGCACCCTGAAGTTTCCTCTTCCCGCTTCAGGGCCGCACATATCCAGAGGCCCAGAATGGCTGCGAGTTAAGCGTATGAACCCCGAGTGAAGGCCCCCAACAAAAAAGACGCAGTTTTCAGAAGAATAATTTGCAAATCCCAGAACCACATCTTAACCAGAGCTCCCTCCCAAGGAAACTGCCGTGAACTCGGAGACAGATTCCGGTTAAGGCCTTTGTATTCTGGCCTTTCTTTCATACTGGGAAGGGTCAGCTTTCTCCCAGGATCCTTGTTTGTTCCCTCGGGTTCTGTGTGTTGGATGGTGGGAGCAAGTGCGGGAGCGGGGTGTGTGTCCGGAGTTAGCCAGGCCGGGCTGAGCTCCAAAAAAGGGATCAAGATCTCAAGATTCCTGTCTCCTTCCCCAATCCTGCTGATCTTTGGGAAGGAGAGAAAGGAAGAAATTAACTAGTGACTAGATAGATAGATACACAGATAGATGTGTTTGTGTTTCCTCTTTGTTCCATGACATGTAATTTTAATTTTTCCGGGCATGGGAACATTTGCTTCTCCTGGGAAAGTGAAAATCACTTCAGATTGAGAAGAGAAAGCAGCCTTGCCATTAATCAGGCAGTGAGAGAAGAGACCGAGAAAACCAGCTGCAAAGTTAATAGAAAATATTATTTCTCCCCAATTCATGCAGCAATTGTATAATGCCATAACGTCTTCTTTGAGAGATTGCAGCTTTTTACCAATGGCCAGGCCCACTTTGCTATTTTTATTTATTACTGGGGATGCCCAATTGCTAGGCAACCCTCCTTTCATGGTAGCACTCAGTCTCCGATTAATCCCCGGCTCACCAGATCTCATCTCAGAAACAGCAACCATTCCAGAATTTTTCCCCGCTTGCCTAGATCTTCAAAATCTTTCAGTTGGAACTCAACCCTTTACAAAAGAGCTCCCCCCACCCATCGCATTCCAAGCATTCATGTGGAATTTCGTCTCGCTCGAGTCAAAAAATTGATTTTGTCCGACTATACAGGCTTGTTCCAGGTAATCTTTAGCTGGTTAGGTAGGCTTTAACCCTGGAAATATCCAGTCCATTGACCTGTTGCTTTCTTTTCTTTCAGTGAATGATAGGGTTGTTGAGGTTACACCCTCCCGTGGGCCTTCACAGAAACATTTGGCAATCATTTAATTCCTCTTGTGAGCTGCTGCTTTTTAATAATTTAAGTGCTCTGCAAGTAAACCTGAATGGTAGTCAACTGCAGAGCGTTATTTTAGGCTACGATTTGTTGAGACACTTACCTGTTTAGTTGGAATCATACAGTAGGAGTCTTTGATCTTAACTGTCCTAAGTTCAAAAGCAGGGAAAGATAGGAGATTGGTGAGAAGATCTTCTGCTTTTAAGAAGTGGTGATGTGACAGGGTTTTTAACAGGGAGGTCTTTGTTAACAAGGGAAAGGAAAGGAAGACATTAGAAATTTGAGGAGTGGTTTGATGTTTTTGACAGCATGAGTTGTTTCAGGCCACATATTTATGTGGTTTTTATGCAGTGTAGTATAGTGACAATAGTATGGGTTATGGGAGCTAGATTACCAGTGTTCTAATCCTAAATTTGCCACTCAGAGCTAGGCGAATTTAGGATAATTTATTTCATCCCTTTGTGCCACAGTTCCTTCATGTGGAGTAGGAATATGATAAGAGGATAATGATGGAACCTACTAAATAGGATTGCTATCAATAGATGAATTAATATATGTAAAGTCCTCAGATATGCTTGACACATTATCAGCAAATTAATTGTTACTATTATGCTGTATTCCATATTTTTGTCATAACCCAAATCCAAAAATTGTGAGGATTTTGCCATGTTTGCCTCATCCATCCACATACGCCCCTTGGTAAGTTGTTAATCAGGAGGAACTTCTTATCCAAGTGAAGCTTTGAAATTGATTGTTAGCCTATAAGAAAGAGCAGAGCTAAGAAGCTCAAATTTTTTATGGAAGAAAACAGACTAAGAAGAACATTTTCTTTAATAATTATGGAAAGAAGAGTACATGGCATTCTTCATCGTTAGTGATACAGCTGACTTTCATTAAATGTTTATTTGCTACTTTAAGTGCTTCCTTATCTGTAGTGTCTTATTTAATCGTCAGAACAACCCTTCGAGATACAATATATCATTATCACCATATTATATAGAAGGAAACTAAGCCTGAAAAGTTAAGTAGTATGTCCAAGATCACACAGTTAATAACTAAGTGAGCTGAGATATCCTGGAAGTTTGACAGCAAAGCCTGTATTAGTACAACAGTGTGCCAAGTCTCATCATTATGTAAACTTAAAAAAAGATCCTTCCTGCCTTACTCAGTAATCCATCATGATAGAGGGAGGGGATGTTACTCTGATGTCAGCAAGCATTGTCAAGTTATGTCCAGATTATACTGAAGCTATGGGGTCTCTGGAGGTAAATGGATCTTACGCTGTAAGATGTATGCCCTGCACTTTTTATTTTAATGATTTCTTTATGCCAAGTGTGACTAGTAAAACAAGAAGGTCTAACAGCCATCAGAGAGTTCGTGGGCATCTTAGCCCAAAGCATTGGCTCAGAAGCAAAATGGACCCATTTGTCATGACAGACTTGACACTGCTGTCAATGCTTAAAGTCATCTATCAGGGACTTTTGCCATTCTTTTTAGATAAAACTCCCACATGCATGTGCATATTAAATCAGAGTAGAGTGGGCTCATGAATTAGAGGCTGAAGTAAAAAAGAAAGTCACTCAGGGAAAACAACAGTTGATTTTTTTAGAGTATGCTAAGCTTTTTTTCCCTCAGTTCAATAGAAGGCTGGAAGAAAACTTGGCACTGGGAAAATCTTTACGTTATTTAAGTATTTGTGTCCTTTAGGTTCATTCTATCTTTAATATGGTAGTGAGTGTCACTGGCTATCACTGTAAACATTTTAGCTGGTCCTTGTAGGCATACATGGGATTTTCTTCCAGGTCAAAATAGCTTAAATTAACACTTTTTTTTTTTTTTTAACAATCTGGCTTCACTCATTTCCTCAAAATTAGAGTGACATCATTACTTTAATATTTGATGATTTTTAATGGTATAGCTGCACTATACTCATTTCCCCAATTAGATTATTTTCAGCTGCTTTCCATTATAAACCATATCTGTCAATATACCTCTACAAACATCTTTATGTGCATGTATAATAGTTCCTTTAGCCCCAGAAGTGGAGTTTCTGGTTTACAAGCTCTACCGGGTTACAAGGTTTAACTGCTGCTTCACATAGTTGTAAATCTGAACCAAACTAGTGTCCATTTCTCCATGACCTTACTAATAAGGGACATCATCTGTCTTTTAGATTTCCCAGCCTAATCACTGTAAAAAGAGATTTTGTGGGGTTATTTGGTTGCTCACCACACGTCTCCTTAATTAGTAGTGAGGTTTAGTATCTTTTGAAAGGTGATAACTCTTTTGTAGTGAATTGTCATTGCTCAGGTTTTTCTCAGTGAACTAGAAATCTAGATTTCAGAGGCAAAACCAAAGTCGAAAGATGCCTTCTGCCATTTTATAATTGTGAATTTGGGTCAGTGATTTGATCTCTGAGCATCAGTTTGCCAACTGCTGAAAGGAGGGAAGAACTACATTGCAGAGAAGTGCTGAGGATCCACAGGTGGTGTATGCACCTAACACATAAAAGTTCTCAATGAATGTTTGCTGTTGCCTAGCTGCGGCCATCATGAATCTCCTCCCCAGCTTGGATACTGAAAGGGGTTGGGGGTGGGGCCACAAAGGATGTCATGTTATGAACAGTTATGACTGGAAAACAGAGTAGTGAGTTGTTTTGGCTGGAGAGAGGCTAGTGTGGCTTTTTAGTGGCAGGAGCTGCCAGGCTTAATCTGTGTGCTTTGCAGTCTTGGTGTTTAGGAAGTTCAGATGGGCTCAAAAGAGGCTCTGTGGGGGGTGGTATGGCCCTCTCTTAGGCCTGGAAAGTTGTACTGGAGGGAGGAGAAGCTGTTCAGGATAAGTAGGAGGAATCCAGTGTCAGCACCAGATCCACTCTGCCAGATGGGGAACTGCCAGATGCAGAACTAGCTGGGCTTCTACACCAAGTCCCTCATTGTGCACCTGCGTTTCTTCAGCGCTTTGTTGGATATCTTCAGAATCCCTATGCTCTCCTCCAGTGTGTTAGGGTGTGGGATCAGTGTGGGTATAGCGGTAGAGATAGTTTGGAAGCAAGGAATTGAAACGAAAAGAGAGCTCATATTAACAAGTCATTTTGCGACATCTGATGCACATGTGGTTTCATGGCTGCTTTTTCTTCTTCCAGATTTGGCTTATCTGGACTAGAGTTCTCCAACAGAGAAATCTTGAAAAGGACTGACCAGTTCTTGTGTTTTGAAACCATGGCCCATGTAAGTTGATGTTTCTTTCTCCTTTTTGAAATACTGTCTATTTCTAGGACATGTGTACATACTCATTCCTGAAACTTCCTGTTTAACAAGCTCCCATCCAGGAAGTTCCTCTCATTGCTATGAGGGCTGGAGACAGGTAATAGCCCAGTGTTCTCCGTATGTGCCCTTCCCTTTTTTTCACTAATGTGGAGCATCTCTTGTCTACAAAATTTTCTGTGAAGAACCTCAAGGGAACAAAAGAAATGCCTTGAGAATGAGGCAGGCGTTCTCTGGAGAATGTCCCCACTGTTAACATGTTCCAGAGGAACAGCTTTTGATTTTAATATTTAAACTTAAGAGAAAGTTTATTTCTCTGAATACAGTGATATTTGGTCTAGTTTTACATAGGAAAAATTTATGTCCCCAATATACAATTTGACATTTAAAAGGTTTTTGAACTTTCTATGGCATATAATACATAGAGAAAAAAGTACACAAATTATAAACTTATGGCTGAATGAATATTCATAAATTGAGTACCTTCATTTTATCAGCATTCAGGTCAGAAAAGAGAATTACTAGCACCTCCCATGCCCTCCTTTCAGTCAATCCCTACCCACCCAGTCCAAAAGTAACCACTATCCTGACTTTGAACACCACAAATTAATTTTGCCTATTTTTATAACTTTATATAAGCAAAACTGTATAGTTGAAGGCAACATTTTTTAATGAAAAACAATGTGCAGGAAGAATTTTATTATACTCCAAATATAATTGCTAGATCATCAGAACTATGTGCAGAGGTTTTAAAATTCATGAAGTTTCATTAAAGGGGATGTGACTCTGTGGAGCTGCTGGTGCTGGAGAAGGCATCAGAGCATCATACTGAGTGTGAGCTGTTCCTGCCATTGTTATTCTTGTTGGAAACTCACTTTCTAGTGCATTTCACATGTAGCCCTTCTTGTGTGGTGTAAAATGAGTTCTTAAAAAAGTTGGAAAAGCATTGAAGAAAATTGTGGAGAAACAAACAAAGCAAGTGAGAAAAATAAGTTCTATAAAAGAGAGAATGAAAATACTGCAGCCGAAGATACGGTGAGTGCACGGACCCACGTGTCCTGTAATTCTCCTTCTGGGGAAAGACCTCTACAACACTCAGTACCCTGGATCATCTCCAGGAAACCCTGAGAGAAGAATACCAGCAGTAAAGTCCATTGTGTAGTTCGGCAGGATATGCTTGTTAAGAGCAGGGTTTCTCAACTTTGGAACTATTAGTATTTTGAGGCAAAGAATCTTTTACTGTGGGGTGCTATCTGCACTGTAGTATGTCTGTCATCATCTATTCCGGCCTCTACCAATTAGATGCCTGTAACACACATATATACACACACACACACACACACACCCCACCTCTGTCATACCCAGAATTGGCCAATGTCTTCTGGGGGGTAAAATCACTCTTCTTTGAAAACCCACTGGTTCAGAGTGACACGTCATGATTCAGTATCCCCTAACTCCGGCACGAGGAAAGGTGTTCAGTAAGGAACAGTGGATGATAAAGAGTAAAAATGTCATCAAGACACATAAGTAGTACAGAATGTAGATTATAAGAGTTGAGGAAATTTTTGAGATTGTATTGAATTAAAGCATCTAAATTGGAAAAAAAAGATTGAGTCTAATATATTCAAAGTATGGACTATCATTTAGCAAATTTTAAAAAGTTTACTAAAGAATTGGTTATAACATTGTATATAAATATTGGAACACTATGTCTAAACATTACAAACATTGGATGCATTATAAACATTTTGATGAACATAAACATTTATAATAAAACGACTTTATGATGAAGTTGCCTGTTTTTTTAGAGATTTGTAGTATATTTGGGAGAAATTTTTATCAATCTTAAAAGAGGGAGAAGAAGGTAGAGCTTTTGTCTGTGTTCAACAGAAGACTAAAAGAACAAAGGAAAAAGAAGGTAGAAGATTTCATATTTTTTAAGAATTTGTGGTGGAGTTACATAGTTTGCAGAAGGCTTAGTACACTGTTTCATTTAGCCAGGACATTTTTTTGGTTAGTTTATTCATTTCCAGATATTTGGATAAAAATTTAATCTTATGTGCAGCTACAGGACGATAGTCTGCTTCAGTGACAGTGGTTTTCTTTCTGTACCCTGTGCATAGCATGTTCAGCCCTACCCTCTTTGCTTGCTGTGCGGCCCCATTCTGCAATGTAATCCTCAACCTCCTGTCTTTCCATTTTAAAAATATTTCATTTATTTTCACAAGTAATACATGAATTTTATTTTTTCAGGGTTCAGTGACATTCAGGGATGTGGCCATAGACTTCTCACAGGAGGAATGGGAATTCCTGGACTCAGCTCAGAGGGACTTATATAGGGATGTGATGTGGGAGAATTATAACAACTTCATCTCACTGGGTAAGGCTATATATCCCAAATTATATTGCCTTTCTTTTCTGTCAGTACAGGACTATGTTTGAGAAACTAGATAACCTTTTCTCTCTGTTCCCACGGAATGATTTAGGCTTTGTTTGAGTGGAAATAGGCCCCTCCATTTAACGCTTCATCACTCCCATCCTGCTATGCCCTTCAGGCTTTCTTCAGGCTCTGTAATTTCCTTGCTCCTTAGTGTCCATGGTGCTGGGTTTGAATTCTGGGTTGCTTACAAAAGAAGCATTGCCCAAGATACCAGACTACATGTTGTATTTGAGCTCAGAATTGGTGTAGATGCCTAACCCTCATTTGTAATGCACCTGCAAGGAAGATACTTAGACACAAGGGTCTCTAAAAACCAGACAGCCTGTGAAACTGACATAGTATGAGATGGATCCACAAGGTTCATTTAAAACTCAAATAAATGCATCCTATTTCCTATAATAGACATATTAGTTCTACTTGCTTTTTGGGTGAAAGTTAAATCTAAGAACTTTGCTATTAATAATTGGATGAATCTGCAGGATGTCTTAGCCTCTTATTCTCCTCTCAGCAGACTGATGACAATAAAAATTAATAGCTAATACACACATATATTATGTGTATATATGTATACATATAACTGTATATATTTGTGCTTAGGTAGTATTCTGAGTATTGTACATTGTGTCCTTAATCCCCACAACAACTCCCTGAGAAATATACTGTTATTATCTTCAGTTGAGATGAGAAAATTTAGGCACAAGAGGTTAATAATTTGCTGAGGTAACACAACAACAAAGGCAGGATTTAAACCCTGCGGTCTGGATCCAGATTCTGTGTCCTCAGCTACTACACAAGACTGCCTCTTAACAGAGCTTGTATGAGTTTAAATTACATTAGGGCCTGTTCTTAACCATCTGGTATCTATTCCTTGTGATCCCAAGGTTACCCTAATGAGTATTCTTCAACTCCTTTGCATTTCTTTGCTCTGAGGCTTTATGAAGCCCAATTTAACCTAAATTTCTTATGAACTTAAGCAAATCTGATCTTAGTGATTTTTGGTCTTATAATGTCATTTCACATTATCTTTGAAGCAGGACCTTCCATTTCTAAGCCAGATGTGATTACCCTATTGGATGAAGGGAAGGAGCCCTGGATGGTTGTGAGGGAAGGGACAAGAAGACAATACCCTGGTGAGTGAGGGCTGAGCAGGCATGTGAATAGTCAAGCCTGCTAGGGTAGAGTCACACCCTTAACGTACTGGGGATCTCTTCAAAAGCCCATGGCCTGTGGAGGAAAGGCCTGAGACCTGGGAAGCAAATTAAAGTCTTCTAAGCTTGGACTAGCAAAGGGGCTTCCTGTTGCCCTCAGTTATTATTCTGCTTCTCATCTCTCAGCTTTCTCTCCCATTTCATAGGAAAGAACTATTCTTATTATAAGAAAAAAATGATAGTAAATATAAGAGCTGAAATCAACAGAATAGAAAAAGAAGTTGAGAAAATTAATAAAGCCAAAGTTGATTGAAAAGATCAAATAACTTGGTAATACCTAGCTTGACTAATCAAGAAAAAAAGGACAACAGAAATTACTAGTGCTAGAAATGAAAGAGGGGTTTTTACTTCACATCCTAAAGCCATTACGAGAATAAGAGATTACTGTGAATAATTTCATCCCAGTAAGTTTGACAATTTAAATGAAATGGAAAAACTCCTTGGAAAATACAACTTACAGAACTGGCCCAAGATAAAAAAGAAAATATGAATAACCTTATATGAGTTAAAGTAATTGAATTCATTATCAGAAATCTTCCCACAAGAAAATGTCAATCCCACATGGTTTCACTGGTGAATTCTATTAAGCATTTCAGAAAGTAATAGCAGCAATATTACATAAATTCCTTCAGAAAAGGAAAGAACATCTTCCACCTCATTTTATGAGACTAACATAACTCTTACACTATGACCTGACAAAGAAACTACCAAAGGGAAAAAAAATTATAGACTCATTTCCTTCATGAACATAGATGTAAAATCCTTAATAAAATATTACTGAATCAAATACAGAAATATATAAAAATGATAAGTAGGGTTTATCCCAGGAATGCCAGTGTGGTGTAATGTTCAAAAATTAATCAGTGTAATGCACCATATTACCAGAAATGAGAGAAACCATTATTGTCCCCATAGAAGTAAAAATAGCATATGACAAAATTCGACATCCAGTTATGCTAAAAACTCTCAGGAAACTAGAAATTGAAGGGAACTTCCTCAACCTGATATAGGACATCTGCTAAAAAAAAAAATACTGTATCATAAACTTTATCATACCTGTTTGAAGAATTTCTCCCTAAGATTGGGAACAAGACAAGGATAAGCCACTCTCCCCATATATATTTAACATTGAATTGAAGGTCCCTAGCATTCCAATAAGGCAATTAAAAAAAATAAGAGGCATAAAGACCATAAAGCAGTAAAATTACTTGGCGATAGCATGATTGTATACATAGAAAATCCTAAGGAATCTGAACAAAAACTACTCTAAAGTGAAGATCACAATAAGATCACAGGATATAAGGTTAATATACAAAAATCAATTGTGTTTTTTGTATATTAGGAGTGAAAAAATTGAAAATTTAAAGTTAAAATAAATTAAGTCACTTAAGAAAATTAAGTACAATAATGTCAAAAAACCCAAAATACTAAGGAATAAATTCCACAAAACATGCAAGACCTCTACACTAAGTACCCTGGAACATTGCTAAGAGAAATTAAAGAAGACCTGAATAAATAGAGAGATACCATTTGGGGGATGGAATCCTTACTGTTGTAGAAATGTCAGTTTTATAGATTGAACACAATTCCAATCATAATCCTAGGAATGCTTTTTTTTTGTAAAAATTAAGCCAATTCTAAAACTTATATGGAAAAGCAGTGGACTTGCATGTCTAAAACAGTCTTGAAAAAGGAACAGATTATAGGACTTAGACTATATGACTTCAGGATACTTCAAGATTTATTATAAAACTACAATAAACAAGACATTGTGGCATTGGATAAGGATCAACAAACAGAAGAAAATAGAGACCTTATATACTTGTATGTAGACCTTATGTACTCGTAAAGGGTCATTAATATGTTGGCAAAGGTACCAAAGCATTTCAATGGGGAAAGGAGACTTCTAAGCAAATGGTGCTGGAATAACTGGAAAAAAATCTCAACCCCTGTGTTATACCAAAATTAATTTGAGATGAATTTTAGACCTAAATATAAAAACTAAACATAAGAAATATAAAAAGCCTAATATAACAAATAATGTAAAAAATAAAATTAGAAAATTAAATATAAATTTGTTAAAAAAATAGAAAAGCTCAATGTAAAGCTTTTAGAGGAAAACGGGAATGACTTGGTAGTAAGCAAGCATTTCTTGGGTAAAAACAGTAACTAAAAATAAAAAAAGTCAGACTTTATTCAAATTAAAAACTTTGTCTCATCAAAATATACCAATAAAAATGAATAGGTAAGTCACAGACTGAGAGAAAATAGAAGTAAAACATACCTGACAAAGAATCTGTATCTGGTATATACACTAAACTCAACACAATAAAGATAACCCAGTTTAAAGTGGTAAAAGTTACATTCATACCATGGAATAATATTCCAACAACAAAAATGAATAAACTGTCAATACACATAACTTGGATGAACCTCAAGGAAATTATGCTAAGAAAAACCAATCATAAAAGGTTACATAACACGATTCTAATTATGTAATATTTATAAAATGACAAAATAATAGAGATGGAAAATGAATTTGTGGTTTCCAGGGCTTAGGGATGTGGGGAGGGGAGGAGATGATTAGGGATATAAATAAGTAACACAGGGGGGCCATATGGTTATAATGTAGTTAAGTATCTTTGATTGTTGTGGTGGTTATGCAGGGCTAAACATGATAAAGTTGTTTAAAACTATGTAGATATACACATACAAGGGCATGAATAATTGATGGAATCTTAAATAAGCTCTGGATTGTACATCAAATTCTCAGTTTGAATATTATACTGTAGTTGTGTAAGATGTTAATGTTGAGAGAGGCAGGGCAAAGGGTGCATGAGATGTTCCTGTGCTTTGCAACCTTCTGTGAATCCACAACTGGTTCAAAATAAACAGTAAACAAAAATGTCCCATTGTGGGTGATGGGTAAAATACTTGAACAAAGAGAGGGGCTGCTCTTTTTCCTCATCAGTGACTATAATCTATACCTAAATCTGTATTAGCTCCAGCTGCCATAGCAAAATAACAGACTGAGTGACTTAAACAATAAAATTTATTTTCTTGCATTTCTGGAGGCTAGAAGTCCAAGATTAACAGTTTTGGGTTCTGAGGACGGCTCATCCTGGCTTGCAGATGGCCCCCTCCTCACACTGTCCCTGCGCAGGAAAGAGGGAGAACTCTCTCTCTACCTCTTAAAAGGCCACCAATCCTATTGGATTAGGACTCACCCATATGACTTCATTTAACCTTAATTACCTCCTAAAAGCATTCTCTCCAAATACATTCACCTGGGAGGTTAGGGCTTCAACATATAATTTTGGAGGGACACGATTCAGTCCATAGCAATATGTATCTATATAGGATCCAGTTTCTTACCAGCTTCTATTTTGATTTATATATCTTGTATATATATATCTTTCATTGACTAAAAATATACTCATTCACTTATTCAGAATATACTTGATTTCCCAGTCTGAATAAAGCACTGTGCTAGACACCAGTGGAATAATTGTGAACAAGAGTGGTGGGTTCCAGCAGTCATGTTGCTTACATTTTAATAGGAATAAAGGCATTAAGCAAACAAGTAAATGAATAAATATTAGGTAGTGACAGTATTATTAACAAAAGTGAGAAGAGCAAGGAAATAGGTGGGTGTAGACAGATTTGTTTGAGGTGGTCAAGGTCTTTTGAGGAGGTGATATTTGAGTGGAGACATGAGAAAATAGCTCAGACTATGAATATCTAAAGCAAGAGCTGTTTCTATAGAGAACAGCAGATGCAGAGGCCTTGGGTTGGGAAATGGAAGATTTGTATGTTTGAGGAACAGCAAGAAGGTCAGATGATTATTCAAAAGCTAAATGACAAGTAGAGTAACAAGGTGAAATATGAAAGGCAAGGGCTAGATCATGTAAAGCTTTATATATCATAGGGGCAGTCTTGTGACTTTTATTTTAAATGTGATGGAAAGCTGTTGTAGATTTTTGAGCAGGAGAGCGAAATGAGTCTTATAATTATCACTCTATGGAGAATAGATTGAATAGGGGCAAAATGGGTAGAAGGAAGACCAGTTAGGAGGCTATTTATTTCATCCCTATTGAAGATGAAGATTGATTAAGAGAGTAGTGGTGGGAGGCAGAGAGATGTTAGATTCATGGTAGATTGCCCAGTGCATGCTGGGTGTTCCCTTCTGGATAGTCTCCTCACCTTGATTGGACTTCAACAACCTGCACAGGGCTGCCCCCAAGAGTGGATATCCTTTTTACCCCCCTTGGACTCCTCACACTGCCTGTTTCGCAAGTGTGGATAAGAAGCATCTTTTTCTTTAGTTGACACATTTTATTCATCTACATTTAAGTAATTTTCTTACATATTCAGGCTTAAATCTGTCTTCCTAATTTTTTCTTTGTTCAATGTGTTTTCCTTTGTTTCTCCGCTCCTGCCTCTTTTGGATTAATCAGGTTCATGACACAGTAAATTTAGGGGTGCATATATCTTTTTGAATCAGAGTTGTTTTCTTCAGGTAAATTCCTACAAGTGGAATTACTGGGTTGTCCAGTATTTCTAACTTTAGTATTTTGAGGAACCTCCATAGTGCTTTCCATAGTGGCTACACCAATTTATATTCCCACCAGCAGGGTAGGAGTGTTCCCATTTCTCCACATCCTCACCAACACTTCTTGTCTTTTGGATAGTGGCTGTTCTAACTGATGTGAGGTAATACCTCACTGTAGTTTTGACTTGCATTTCCTTGATGATTAGTGATGCAGAGCATCTTTTCATGTGCCTGTTGGCCATCTGTAGTCCTTTTTTGGAAAAATGTCCATTTAGGTCCTCTGCACATTTTTAAATCAGGTTATTTAAAAGGTATTGTTATATCATATGAGTTCTTTATATATTTGGATGTTAAGACCTCATCGGAAAAA